TGTCATAGGCTTTTTTCTTTTTTTAAGGGCCACCTTTAATTTTTACATAAAAATTGGACAATAAAATGTACTTCAGTAAGCTGTAAGTTTTAGATGTAGGTGAAGGTCTTTGGAAATATTAAGAGTGACTGCTATCCAGAGAACCTTCTACAATAATTCACTTTTGAGAGATCATTTAAATTCGTCACAATAACGCTATGGACGTTTTTTGTTATTCTGTAATTTTTAATTATATTTTGTGTATGTGTAAAGCATTTGAGAAAATTGGGCACATTAAAAGTTGCTTTTTCCAGTTTTAAGCAGCAAAATATCTGATTACTTATTTAAGTGATAGACCTATTTACTTGTAAAAGTTATTTTGTTATTTGTGAACTCTCTGTGACTGGTACCTTTCATTTGAGAAGTCAGTATATTTCATAGAATTGGAAGTAACAAAGAGATTTAGTTTAATCCTTATTGAAAACCTATAGTTTTATTTAAGTTTTGTGAAAATATGCAGTTGTCGTAGCTTTTCATACCATTTACCGAGCCTAATGAGCAGCTAATATAATGAATGACAGACCTCTAAGAGAATACAATTATTTGCTGTTAGTTTACAGAATGGATTCACTTTGTATCAGAAGAGTTTTTCATTGAACAGGTGAAACTAATGATGGAGGCAGTATAAGTCATCATATTATTTTATAACCCAAGCACAGATACCCATTTCCTGATTTTGAAACCAATAGAAACTCATTTTAGAAAAATTTACTTAATTCAGGAAAGAATTTTTTTGAGAGAGAGTAAAAAGATTTTGAAAGAAACTTCTGGGTTTTGTTATAATCTGATAAAACTCCCCAGTTCTACCAGGATTATACCTTTCTGCTACCCAGGTAGCTTAGGCCAAGGTTTAACACGTTAACGCACATTTCACTAGAATAGCAGGTCTCATATTTTTGGGTCTCACACTCTATATTTTCACAAATTATTAATGATCCTCAAGGAGTTTTGTTCGTGTAGTTTTATCTATTCATTATGTATTAGAAATTACAACTAGAAAATTTAAAGCTATTCCATTTAAAAATAATAATAAACTATTGCATATTAAATAGTATATTTTATAAAAATAGCTATATTTTTCAAAACAAAAACTAAGGAAAAGAGTGGCATTGTTTTATATTTTTGTAAGTATCATTGATATTGGCTTAATAAAAGACAGCTAGATTCTCATACCTGCTTCTGCTTTCAAGCTCTTGCAGTATTTTGTTTTGTTTAAAGTATATGAAGAAAATCAGCTTCCACAAATATGCCACTTGGAAAGAGGAGAGGAGTATTTTAATAACCTTTTCAGATGATTGTGGAAACTCTTATTTGAATGCCACACCAAAATTTAATAAATAGTAATTTCTTAAAGGTTAGTTGCAGTGTGGAATCTATAAACACATCAGTGAACTTTTCCTGCTCTTGAATTGAAGTCTATTGATCTGGTAGAATTTTTCATTCTTTGGAGAAGTTGTGAATGTGATTAATGTCTCTCTCCAAATGTATTAAATCATCCAAATCTCACTTTTTTGATGTCTTTTTAGACTGAGTCAGTGAGGCAATGAAAGGAGAGACAGGTTTTGGAAAAATTTGATACAGAAAGAGAAAGAAAGTTTTATAGATATGATGATAGAAACTGAGGTTGGAACCAAGGGGGTAATAATTGTAGTAACTAACATTTACTTCACTGGATCATATGCCAGAGGCTATTCTGAGCATTTTGCACACGTTAATTTATGTAAGCTTTCCAAGATTAGTAGCAGGTAAGTGCTAATATTCTACCTTATAGTTGAGGAAGCTGAGACACTGAGAGATTAAATAAATTGTTCAAGATTAGACAGTTATTAAGCAGAGTAACAGAAGATAATCTGGCACAGAGCACTGCTATGTTGGTGACCTCATTTCTGTTTCTGTTTTATCTCCTGAACAGTACTGCTAATCATGATTTTTTCTTTTCCTTCAAGATATCTTTGTAAAAAAGACTTTACTTTTTAGAGCAGTTTAAGATTCACAGCAAAATTGAGCAGAAAGTACAGAGTTTCAATATACCTCCTACTCCCAAAATACACAGCTTGCTGTACTGTCAGTATTCCTCACCACAGTGGTACATTTGTTACAGTTGATGGAAGAATGTACATTGATTTGATACATCGCTGTCACCAAAAGCCCATAATTTACATTAGAATTCACTCTTGGTGTTGTATCCACCATTACAATGTCATACAGAATAGTTTCACTGCTCTAAAAATCCTGTGTTCTCACTGTTCTCCACCACACACCCAACCGCAGGCAAGCAGTAGTATTTCTACTGTCTTCCATAGTTTTGCATTTTACATGATGTCATGTAGTTAAAATCATACCATATGTAGCCCTTTTGAATTTGTGTCTTTCACTTAGTAATATGTATATAAGGTTTCTCTATGCCTTTTCATGTCTTGATAGTTCATTTCTTTTCAGTGCTGAATAATATTCCATTGTGTGGATGTGCCACAGTTTATGTTTCCACTCACTTACTTAAGGACCTCTTGGTTGCTTCCAACTTTTGGCAATTATGAATAAAACTGCTATAAATATTCATGTGCAGGTTTTTGTGTGAACAAGTTTTTAACTCCTTTGGGTTGAAAACTAAGGAGCACAGCTGCTGGATCATGTGCTAAGAGTATGTTTAGTTTTGTAAGAAACTGCCACACTGTCTTCCATAATGTCTATACCATTTTGCATTCCCACCAGCCATGAATGAGAGCTCCTATTGCTTCACATCCTTGACAGCATTTAGCATTGTCAGTGTTTTGAATTTTGGCCATTATCATAGTTGTGTAGTAGTATATTGTGTGTTCTTTGTTGTTGTTTTTTGTATATTGTTTTCATTTGCAATTCCCTAATGACTTACGACATTGAACATCTTTTCATATGCTTAATGCCTTCTGTAAATCTTCTTTGGTGAATTGTCTGTTCAGATCCTTTACCCTTTTTTAAATTGGGTTGTTCATTTTTTATTATTACTGAGTTTTAAGAATTCTTTGTATATTTTAGATGACAGTACATTATCAGATACTTCTTTTGCAAATATTTTCTCCCAGTCCTTGACTTGTCTTCTTGTTTTCTTCACAATTTCTTTCACAGAGCAGAAGTTCACAATTTTAATGAAGTCTAGCTTATCAATTATTTATTTCATGGTTATGCCTTTGGTGTCATATCTAAAAAGTCATTTGAACCCAGAGTCATCTACGTTTTCTCCTATGTTTTTTGCTAGGAGTTTTATAGTTTTGCATTTTACATTTTGGTATATGATAACACTTTGAGTTAATTTTTGTGAAAGGTGTAAGGTCTGTGTCTAGATTTATTTTTGTATGTAAATGTCTAGTTGGTCCAGCACCATTTATTGAAAAGACTATCTTTTCTCCACTGTGGTTTTTTTTCTTCTTTGTCAGGTTTGGTTGCTTGTATTTGTATGGTCTATTTCTGTTCTCTCTATTCTGTGTGATTGATGTCCTTGTCTTTTCTTTCACCAGTACCACACTGTCTTACTTACTGTAGCAATAGAATAAGTTTGAAGTTTGATAGTGCCACTCTTCTGACTTTGTTTTCTTCCTTCAGGATTGTGTTGGCCATCCTGGGTCTTTTCCCTCTCCCTATAAGCTTTAAAATCAGTTTGTCAATACCCACAAATAACTTCCTGGGATTTTGATTTGGGATTGCATTTGACAATATTGAGTCTATCCATGAACATGGACTCTCTCTTTCTTTAGTTGTTCTTTGATTTCTTTCATCAGAGTTTTGTAGTTTTCCTCATATAGATCTTTTATGTATTTTATTAGATTTGTTTTCTTTCTTTTTTTTAAAATATATCTTTATTGATTTCAGAGAGAGGAAAGGAGAGAGAGAGAAACATCAATGATGAGAGAGTCATTGATCGAGCCTGCAACCCGGGCATGTGCCCTGACCGGGAATCGAACCCTGATGGCCTGGGTCCTAGGTCGACGCTCAACCACTGAGCCACACCCGGCCGGGCTGTTTTATTTCTTGATGTGCTAGTGTATTTCATTTCATTTTGGGGGGGTGCTAATGTAAACAGTATTACATTTTTAATTTCAAATAATACTTGTTCATTGTAGGTATGTAGGAAAACATTGACTTTTGTATATTAACCTTGTGAACTGGAACCTTGCTATAGTTGTTTATTATGTCCATGTCACTTGATTTTTTTCAGATTTTCTACACAGACAATCATATAATCTGAGAACAAAGATAGTTACATTTCTTTCTTCCCAATCTGTATGTTAAAAAAATTCTTTTTCTAATTGTACTAGCTAGGACTTCCAGTACAATTTTGAAAAGGTGTGATGAGAGAGGAGGACATCCTTGCCTTGCTCCTAATCTCAGTGAGAAAGCTTCTAAGTTAAGTATGATGTTAGCTGTAGAGTTTTGTTTTTTGTTTTTGTAAATTTTTCTATCAAGTTAAGGAACTTCCCTTGTATTCTTAGTGTGCTGAGAGTTTTTTGTCATGAATAGGTGTTGAATTTTTTGAAATACTTTTCCTGCATCTATTGACATGATCAACATCTCTTTCATTGTACTGAATTGATGAAACTTAGATTAGTGAAGAAATGTAAAAATAATTCTGTATTCCATCAGTGATAGAGACTTGGTATTTATCTTCAACTTACTTTATGATCTGTTCTAATGGGGGAAAGTCTCTTATTTTGGTGCTATGATCCTATGTATGCCAACTTAGGTCTCAGAATGACTAAGTAGTATCTGTGCAAAATCGAGGCTATTCCCATAAAATGTATGTGCATATTAGTGAAGACGTTTTTACATTATAAATTTGTACATGATTTATTTTTTATATTGGCTGAGGTAGCATGTCATATCAGCTGGACATTTTTTAAACTTTGGGGACATTTAACATTTCTCAGGGATTTGAAAATAATAAATTTTCATTATTTAAAATGTGACTTTTTTTCTATCCCATTTAGTTTTGTCAGCCCAGTGGGTGGCAGCTGTCCAGAGAGAGGAAGCAGCCAACGTTTTTTGTGGTGGTCCTGACAGATATTGACTCAGATCGACATTACTGCTCGTGCCTAACCTTCTATGAGGCAGAGATCAATCTTCAGGTACGACTACTTTTCTAGCCAAAGTATAGTCAAAGGGACTACATTTAGGAATTTGTTTATGCCATATTTGTTTTTGTTAGAACTGCCGGCTTGAGGTCTATGGGTTACTTTAAAAAGAGTGAATTACTATACTGTTGTTGAGAGCAAGAACAACAGTACATCCAAGAATACCTGTCCTCTTTTAAAATTAAAGTCTCATCTGAATGCTTCTAAGCATATGTGTGAATTTATTAAGAAAATTTGTATCCTTTCATGGTGAACCTCTCATTTTCCCTGTCAGTCCTTCTCCTGAGGGAATCTTTCCTAGAACAGAGTATTTAATCAGAATGTTTATAGATCACCTATCACAATTCTTGATATTATTTTTGAAGCACCTAAGTAAATGTTAACTCATTACGATTAGTGGTGGTAGTAGCAAAATGGTGGGACTGAAATTCATAGGCTGCAACTATAGAAATTAAAAACACTAGATTTTTCAGCATTCTAACTGGGGTTCTTAGTTTCAGACACTGCATGTACTTCTTCTGATCTGTGCAAGAAAGGATCTATGACAGTGTGTTGGGCAGTTTATGTAATTTCATGGGTGAAGAGTAAGCAGGAAACTAATTCTGGGCACCAGGAACTGCCTAGCTTGGAGCCCTTGTAGTGGAAACCACACTTTCCCTGCTTTTTACCATTTGGCACATACGATGTTGGGCACTAGACAATATAATCTTCATAAAGCTCAGTCCCCCCTGTGCAGATGCGTTCTCAAGTTGCTGACTTCTTTAAGCCTCATACGAGCTGACTCCTTGAGAAAGTCAGATTGCATGCAAATCCCCCTCCCTGTAAGGGAGTCAGGAAAACTGTTTTCTTATTGTTGTTTGTTTGTTTTTGTTTTGCTTTCAAAGTTCTGTAATACAAAAAAAGAGTTTGTAACTATAAAAGAGTTTGGAGGATGTTGAGAGTCAGTTACATGTGCTGTACTTTCTGCTATATACAGATGAATGAGTGTCACCACCAGGGAAAAGGGTTGGCTTGCTTTCTAAAATGGCCTCGCAAAGGAGCATTTGCTGTTTGAGTTACTTTAATTAAATTCCGAGATAAGAATTTTCTAGATGTAGAAATCTGATTTTCAGTACAAGGGGGATAAAAATCACTTTTTATGATGCAGACTTACATTATCCAAGTTCATTAGACTGATGTATTAAAACCAGCATGCTAGTTTATTAATTTACAGTGATAAGTTAAAAGGTTAGATAGAACAAAATATGTGTTGTCTGCATTATCAGCACATTCTCTTCTTGTCAGAACTTTGTGGGAAGCTGTGTCAAAATCAGAAGCATTTTGATTGTGGAATCAAACTAAGGAAATTTAATGTCAAATATGTAATACCTGTCAGACTAACATAGTCTGTTGTTTATATTTGAAATTAGGGATTATATTGTCAGAGAGACTAGAAAAATTAGAAGTCTGTGACTGGTCATCTCTGTCCTAGATAGTGTTTGGATGGATGTTATCAACAAATAGCTAATCACATTTCTATTTTGATCAAGTCAGTCTAAATAAGAAAGAGTGTTCTCTAGTCAAGAGTCTCCTTTTCGCCTGGCTGGGTGTGGCTCAGTGGTTGAGCGTCGACCTAGGATCCAGGTGATCAGGCTTCGATTCCTGGTCAGGGCACATGCCCGGGTTGTGGGGTCGATCAGTGACTCTCTCATCATTGATGTTTCTATCTCTCTCTCTCCCTCTCCTTTCCTCTCTCTGAAATCAATAAAGATATATTAAAAAAAAAAAAAAGTCTCCTTTTCTTTTTTAGGCGACTTTTTGTTTTAATCTCTGTTGATCTTTAGATTTTAAATTAGTGCTGAGAATGCAGCATTTTCTTTAATTTTTGTATTCTTGAGGGTATCTCTTCACAGCTTTCTAGAATTGTCTAATTAAATTAACTGTGGTTATTTAGATTCTCCTTCCTCTCTCCTTCACTATCAATCCTTCTCCCTCCAAAAATAAACTGACAGAAAAGTGATACATTAAGACAGTGTAGGGGGTTCCAGTCCAAGATGGCAACATGGGAAGCTCCTGAACTCACTTCCTTCCATGGAAACATTGAGTCTATCGCTAAGAAAAGTTAAAAGGATATTGCAAACATCTATATGTCCTTAACCCATATTCACCTGTTTTTAATACTTTACCCCATTTCTTTTTGATGATAAATAATATTTTTTATTATTTTTAATAGATCCCTCCCTCCATCCCTCACTTCCTATTTCTCCTTACACACAAACATTTTTATTTCTGAAGCATTTAAGGTACATTTGTGTGCATCATCTCCCTTTGCCCTCAAGTCTTATATTTCATAGGAATAAGTATGATCTCTTACATAAACATAGTATGGTTATCAATTTTAGGAAATTTAACATCAGCATTATACTTTTATCTAAGCCACCATCCATATTTCAGATTTGATCTATGTCCTTTATTGCCCTTTTTTCATTTCCCCCAGTCAGGATGCAGTTTAAAATCATGTATCACATTTAATTCTCTTTTGTCTCTTTTCACCTGGAATAGTTGCATAGCATTTCTTTTTGTGTGACATTGATATTTGCGAGTAATGCAGGTCCCCATGCCCCTTTTTAATAGAATGCTTATTGTGTTTTTCTGATGTCTCTCATCTTTAACCCTTTGCGGTCGTTTGTCTACTCTCAGCCACGAAAGCTTTTTTACCGTTCCGGTCTTATGTCTGCTCTCAGCCACCACAGCAAGGAACCGTACGAATCTTAACTCTCTTCATTCATGTATCAGTTCATAATTTCTCTGAAAGCTCTTAAGTGTCTAAGCGACCTTGTCACGAACCAAAACATTGCCCCGACAAATCGGAGATATCGAAACTCAATATAAACAAACGCGGTCGTTCCACACTCGCCATGCAAAACACCGTGGCGAGTCAGTCGCCTTTTGAGAGTGAAGAAATCGACAAGCTTCGGAGATACTTCGCAGAATTTCAAACAAAGCTTTACAAATTACGTTTAACTGTAATTAGCCATTCTCGCTTGTTAAGATATTTCAAAATAATACTCCAAAATGGCAAAAAGAAAGTTACCAAAAGAAGTGTACTGCGAATCTGAAAGTAACGATGAAGAGTTTTATTTTGGCAGCTTGAATACTGACTCTGACGTAGAAAGTGATAATGTTTGTAGTGATTCTACTAGTAGTGACGTAGTTCCAGTGAAGTGACAACTAAGGCAATTAGTAATATCCAGCGACAGTGAAGCAGAAGAAAATGATAAAAATGAGAACGGTAATATAAACGAATTTACTACTTGGAGAGATGTTACGCACCGAGATCAGCCACAATCAAAAATTCGATCAGGTGATATTTTATTATTAGCGTGGAAAGATAAGAGAATAGTCACCGTACTAAGCAGTTACGATACCTCGGGCACGACAACTATAGAAAGAAGGGTGAAACAAGGTGGCACCATCAACATTAGCAAACTGAATGTTATTATAAATTACAATATGAATATGGGAGGCGTCGACAAAGCTGACCAATTAGCAAGTTCGTACTGTTTTATGAGAAAATCTTGCAAATGGTGGAGAAAGATTTTTTTCTGGGGATTAGAGATCTGTGCAATAAATAGCTACATCTTATATAAGATGTCAGCTAGAAAAGAAAACAGGACGCCTATGTCACATTTTATGTTTGTTTGAAAATTGGTCGAACAACTTGTCNTTTATGTTTGTTCGAAAATTGGTCGAACAACTTGTAGGTGATTTTCGTGAAGGAGCGTCTTCAAAACCAGGAAGACCATCGGCCTCAGATAAAGATGAAAGGCTTAATGGGAAACTGCATATATTGCGGCACTGTGAAGGTGTGAAAAGTAAAGATTGCTCTATATGTTCGAACAGAAAGATTAGGGGCGGAAGACTCCAAACTAATTATTTTGTGATACGTGTAGTCGAAAACCAGGACTGCATATTGGAGACTGCTTTCAAAGATACCACACAATGGATAATATAAAATATAATTTTTACATAAAAACATGTTATTGAAACGCATTATTGTCTAAACATACATCTAATGTTCAAAAAAGAATTAATAAATCTTGTTTATCCTTCATAATCTTGCATGTTATATATATCACTGCTCTTTCAATGGAAATTAATTCCGACCAGTACCACACCCATGTCCAAATTTAATACGACCGCAAAGGGTTAAATTCAGGTTATACATCAATAGCTGGAATACCACCAACATTTGGGATACTAAGTGTGTTCCTTATAGGGGTTTCTTTTTAAGGGAACACATCTGAAAGTACACAATATCTGCCTCCTGTTGATGATGTTAATTTTGGGTACCTGGTCAAGTGATTGTCAGATATCTCCATTGTATAGTAGCTATTTTTTTTTATTGCAACTAATAAGCAAGACACTTTAAGAAGACTCTGTAAGACTGTGCAAATATTCTGTTACTCATTTATCATGCCCCCTAGGTTTAACATTTAGTTATGATGCTTGCCTGTGTCAATTTGTATTATGACGGTTGCAAAATAATGATTTTCCAGCTCTATACACCCTCTACCTTTATCCAGTCAATAGTTGACATTTTATAATAAGCAGAGAGCATCCCCACCTTGTCTATTTGAGATAAACTCATGTGTTCCAGTTTCTTTTTTCTTCCATAGTATGTAATTAATAGTTTTACTTGTGTTAATGCACAAATTATCCTGGATTTGACCAACAGGTACTCCTTCAGATTTGTTCCTATATTCTTTTAACAAGACTCCATCTTTTTTTTTTAATGTCTTTATTGATTTCAGAAAGAGGAAGGGAGAGGGAGAGAGAGACAGAAAATCATCACTGATAGAATCATTGATCGGCTGCCTCCTGCATGCCCCCGACTGGGGATCGAGCCCGCAACCCAGGCATGCGCTCTGACCAGGAATCGAACCATGATCTCCTGAATCCTAGGTCAATGCTCAACCGCTGAGCCATGCCAGTTGGGCCCATCATTTTTTAAA